TGATTTAAAAAATTTCCAAATAACTTCTCTCGGAAATGATCTCCGTTCAGATAATTCAGATAATTTGAGCGAATTGCCTCTTTAAAGCCATCTGTTATCGAATCTAAGCCAAAAAGGGTCGGTATTTTTCTAGGCTATAATTTGGAAACAAATGTTGGCATATGACATGAGGGTTTTTGAATCAATTCAGGGAATGCTAGCAATACTTTAGTGGTGTTCACATAGCAATTCCGAAAGTTTGCATGCCAAATTCGCCTAATTTACCATAAAAAATTTTGCTAACTATAAAATCCAGTTGAGTTCGTCATAGCAGTCCAATGAGGTGAACTCGAATGCATTTTCAAAATTTTCAACGACACCAAATAAAGCAACTTAAATTTATATTCCAAAATCACAGTGAAGCAGCACTAAAATGCACAATTCAACAAGTGCGGAATTACACATGAATTCATAAATTATTGCTGAATAGATGACGACTGGCCTTTGATGAGTTAACTCGCAATTCTATTTATTGCTTATTGGGGCATAATAAATCTATTGGTGAACGTATCTACTCGATTAATGAATCGTACCTGAAGCATTTTCACTGACTTTATTCTGCTATAAATTCGCCATTGAAAAGGTCATCGCGCAAGAGGGACTCAAAAAGCGTAGCATAACTTCAAATCAAAAATTTTTACCTCAACCATACAAATTTCTAGTCCACCTGAAACATCAAAGTTAATGATTCGTGGGTAAATTCATCGATGCAAACGAATTTTCATTTCATTTCAAGCTCATAATACCTCTTAACAAGTATTGATAGAATGTGATATTGCAAATAACTGATTATAAATTGTGGAAAAAAGTGGCCATTATCTGCACACGCATGCTTGTAATTTAGCAATCCAAATGTTATCCTTGCTCTGAACAAGTATATGTGACAACCTGTCCGCATAAGATTATTCTCCTTTTGCAGTACAATTCATTGATATAGTCTGCTTATATTGGAAATAACTGATTATGTCTTGTACTGTAACATATCTGCTGACCTCATAGTGCAACAATCCTAACAGTAAGATAGTTTTTTTAACAATTTTAATAGCAGTAATGGTGATAACAATAACAATCACAGCAATAACCATAATAATAAAGTTCAAAATAATTCATTAGTGATGTGAGTAATACAAGAAGAATAGCAGCATATGACACTGATATAATGATAATGATATAGTGATAAATAATGATAATGATAAATGGAAATAGGAATCATTATCGTCACTTCTGATGGATTATTGTTATCATTTTCGTTACTATCGCCATTGCCATTAGTGATAGAAATTTTTTGCATGATTATTTGACTGCAAATTAACAGTGCAAAATATACGTTCCATATGAATGAACGAAATATAGCTGACAAGCAAAATCTGATATATCGTATTTGTGTATTAGCGATAGTAAGGTGTTTGAAGAGTGATCACATCAGACGAGGATTTGTAATGTGATCCGTTATCCTTCAGTGTGTAAACATTCGAATTTAACTCGATGAATATGCCATATTATATTACCCTTCTCGACGCTATTATTATTATTATTGTATTCTTAGAACTTTTCATTTAATTTCAGCAATTTAACAAGTCAGTTCTCTTATTCATACAAATACACTGTGTTTATGAATAGGTCGGCAAGCATAACTTAAATAAATATTGTTTAATGTCGATGAATAGCTTAAAACTGAGTGTATGAATGAACGTGCTAAATCTAAATCGTTCACGATGAAATAACCGGGGATTTAAGATTCAAGAAATTAAGCTGAAATTATATTCATTCAATATTTTTTCCACTACTCTAATTGATAATTCATCATTGAAAGTTCCATGACAGTCAGCATAAAAAGTCGTACGTATAAACTTAGTATTAACTATATTCTTCTGATTGTGAGCTATTTGGAATAAAGGCATTCCTAGAGATTAAAATCCTCATAAGTCTTTATTTTCTTTCACNCTCAAATGCTTCGAAAATGAACTATTGAATAATTTTGTTGCAAATTCAGGAACGTGCGATCACGGGTGTGCGTGTGAATGGTATCGGACCGTTGATAGCCTCCTCACCAACCACGCATCACGATCCCAATTTATCCGGTATCCAACCGATCGACATCCATCAATATTCACAAAGTCAAGCATTATGGTCGAACATCGATAACGGCACCAGTAATCAAATACCCGTCGGTCAAATACGACCAATCCTACATAGTAATGCGTCGTCGATCACTCATCACCCTTCCACTATGCACCCTTCCTATCCTCAAATGGTTCGATTTTAGTTTATTCATTTTTACTCTATTCATTCTCTTCTTTCTGATATCAGCAATTTCAATTAAATGTACTTTTTGGAGCTTGTTCAAAGTGTTTCTCCTGGAAATCTGTGAGGTGAATGAACGATAAACCGCTACAAATCTGTAGTTACTAAATCATTTCCCGGGATAAAAATTCATGAATGTGCATCGTTCCATTGCTTACAATTATGAATGCTGAAGGAAGAAGAATTCATCAGTAGTCGTGATAAAAGAGAGACTTCATTAGTAGTGATTTAGGGTAACTGCTGATTAAGAATTGATAATTTATCACTGCTATGCATATTTCTATCGTTTATCATTTTATACCGCCTTTACTGCTATCATCTAATAATGTGGTACGAAAGGCTGTGAATAGCTATGGCCTAAAT